CGGAGAAAGGATCTGGCTCTAGGAGAACCCCGATTTCAAAGGAGTCCTCAGTGTAATTGCTCAAGGTTTTCAAAAAAATAAAAAATAAAAAAAATAAAAAGTTTAAAGTGAATCAACTCAATACATGGACGGAGCTAGAAATTTCTTCTAGTGGGGGCAACAAAAAACAACTAAGAAAACCTTATTATTGTATGGTTATACGCAATATGATATTAAGAATGGTTTCAAATGATGATGTAATACAATTTCAATGTTACAAAAATTTCAATATAGTAGTGGAAAGTGACAAAGTGATGAGAAAAATATAAGTACATGATAGGCGGGAGAGGGTTTTTTTCGGTTTGAATGACAGAACAAGAGCACTATTTCTCAAATAATATTTAATATGAAGCATAAGTATAATGAATGTATGTTAGATATTAGACACATATATTTTCTTCAAAGATAACCCGTGTATATTATATAATTGTAGTCTGCAACTAAACAAACGAATTACTTGAGTGGGGGCATCTGCCCCCAATGAGCCTTCATTGGCTTCGTCCATGACTCAATACAATTATGCGTTTATCTTATTACGTAACACAATACATTGCAGAGGAGAGAGACAACGATCCGCATCGAATTTAAATGGTGAGGGGTCCAATAGACAACCCAAGTGATAAATTCACCTAAATTATGCAATGAAAAATTATTGAGTGAGTGTGACTGCCTTGCGTCCTTTGGCTGGTTGTTTACCCAGAAGCCAAAATTAAAGGACAACACAAGAGGGAGCTATTATTATCTCTAATGGCTAATCTTACAACCAAGAAGCCGACTTCCAAAAAGTCCAAAACCACATACTTTTGTGAAGTTCAAAATTTGGGTGGGTCTATGAGCTGTGTTGATTTCCAAGTAGTTGGTGTTGGATGTCTACCATCGGTTTGGTATTTAATACAAAATTGATTCATGTACAATTTTTATACACACACACATACAAGAATATGTTATAAGTTATATTCATGTGTGATTTCAATGCTACATAGCTTTTATTGTCACGACTGGTTTAGTTGTTAGATTTGATTTTTAGAATGGTTAAACATTCTATTTTTCAGTTTTAATTATTCATTTTTCATGTCATTTAATATTATGTATTGTTTGAAGAAAAATTTTGCTTTTTAAAATTTATTTTTTACATATTAAATTTAGTTGAAGGACCGATATACGAAGTACTCTTGTCCCATATGTTAAGTTTGGTTGAAAAAATCTTCTACCATGTATAGAGTTTCTTAAACTGTCACAGTAATAGTAGGTAAGAGTGAGACCTAATATCACCTTAAATATGTTAAGAAGGGTTGATGAAATGTTGGTATAACAAATATTAGCCCATCATGACCAACGATCTAAATATCGTCACTGGGTTAGAGAAAGTCTTATATTCAACTTACTCAAGTGGAGGGATGATATATATATAGGGACAAATATTTTGATAAACATTTTTACACTTTCTTGTAGCCTTTAAATTTTGTAACATTCAACGGTCTAGATTAAGAGTGATGTGGAGAGTTGTAAACATTAAATGACTTGGATGATGATGTGGATTATAACTAATAAAGAAAACATCAATCTAAATTAAAAATTAATATATAATAGGATAAAATTGAAAAAACCAATAATCAAACTTTGAACCTAGCGTAAAAAATAAAAAAAATAAGAAAACAAAAACATGAAAAACTATAACCTCCATCTCCCTCCCTGCAATCCCTTGGATGAAATCTCCTCTTTCATTTTATAAAAAATGAACCCTAATAAATAACAAAAAAGGAATGATTTAAAAAAAAAAAATGATACCAGGGATAGGATTAATACTTAGCGGAAACGAAATTGCTATAATAAAAAAAAAATTGAAAGCGCAGACGAATGAAATCAAGTTGTTTGTTTGATTCGAAAAGCTAAAAAAAGTAGAAAAATCATCAATGACCTAAATCGACAAAACTAAAATGATTTTGTAAAACCTAATTTAATCACCCTACATATATGAACAATAATATATGGTTTAGGGTTTTGTACGTTTTGCTTACGTAATGAAGATTCAAGAGACTAATAGCTTGATTCGTTGTAGAAGGCATCAAAACTTCATATCAATCCTATGGAAGCTGCATACCTCATCAGCAAAGAGGGAGATGGAGGTTACAATACTTCGAATCCATGGAGTTCTACCTCCTTTCTTGTTTGCAAGCTTAAAACTAGTGTTTCTTCCTTTTTAATTTTATTTTTAATTACCTTCCATATTTTATGCTTTTTGAATTTTATTTTTATGTTTAATATTAGTTAAAATCCACTTAAGCATCCATGTCATTTAATGAATGAATATGAACCTTTGGATGTTTTGTAATCTAAAGGTTTAAAAAAAGTGTAAAAATATTTGTCCCTTAATCCTATCCCATATATATTTGTGATAAGATGATATTTAATTGCGGTTAGTCTATTGCGATGACGCATTTGTTTTGTATGTATGTTGCTTGTTGTAAAAGTATTTTATTAAATATCATATATTTTGAGAACTATTATTAGTACTTTAAAATTTATAGTACACTCCAAGAGAGTATTGTTTTTTTTCTAAATATAGAAAATTTAGAATTCACAATTAAAATTTTAAAGTGTCAATAACAATTCTCTACTTTTATTGAAAATAAATAAAAAATAATAACAACACATCATGTTTTATGGACGGGCAGACAAACCGGAAAACTGAAAAATCCACCAAACTAAACCATTTGCGTTGGGTTTTTTTTTTTTTTTTTTTTTTTTTTTCCAATCGGTTTATAAAACCAAACCGAAAGAACGGTTTAGTATGCGATTTCGATTTTGACAAACCGCGAGTTAACCGAAGCAAACCGATTATAATAAAATACGTAATTAATAAAATGTAAATATTATATAATTTTAGTATTTAACAAATATATTGTGTGTGCTACAAAACTCATTTACCGTAGCATACAAAATCTTTTGACTAAATATCATATAATTTTTGTTGGTGTTCTTTTCATGGTACTTTATAATTTAATTTAAAGTTATGAGATTGAAAGTTTGAGATTTTGAATAATGAGATTAAGTATTTAGAAGTTATGAAATTGTAGTTTGATGATAAATTTATTATAAATTAAAAGGTTTATAATTTTTTCTTATAATTATTTCAAATAACTCAAAAAAAAATTGTTTGGAAATAAATCGCAAACCTAGCTAAACTGCAGCACAACATTAGTGAACCGATCACATCTTCTAAGCCATTACTTAGTTGTGGTTTGGTCGTGACTTGAACTTAAAACAGAACCAACCCATCCCATGTCAACGCCACACATAAGATGTTATAATTTGGAGTTTTGGTGGCATTCAATAATCATTATAAGAAAGGGAGCTTTAACGAAAAGCTTCCGGTACTGTTCACTTTAACGAAAAACCACATTTTTGCACTAAAAAGTCAATCATGATACTATTCACTTTACCCTTTATTTTGTCCTTATCATTAAAACTCAAAGTTTTCAAGCCATCTTCATTAGTTTTCCTTATAAGAAATGCTACGATCAACGCAACTAACTAAATCATACCATTATAACTTCATAATATTTATTTATTATAAAATGTATGATATTACTAACTTTAGAAGATTAAATTATATAAAAAGCAAAGAGACAATTGTCCTCTCTACAACTTTCACGATCATATTGTTTAAGAATCATTATTCATTTGCAAATATCCGAAATATCCTCTCCATTTTTTGGGGTCTTATTTATTTATTTTAATAAATGATATTATTTACACTAAGAAAAGAAGGTGTGTTTAGCCTCATAATAAGCTAGCAATAATTAGGTTTGAATCTCGTCTTAACAAACGATATTATTTACATTAATGGGAGAGGTAGGCTTAGTCTTACAATGGGCTAGTAATAAGGTAGTTCAAATTCGTCTTTGACGATAATCGAATATAAGACCTCTCATTTATAAGTAAAAAAAAAATATTAATAAACCGTAGTACTAAATGACATAGATGATGGGTCGACTTCCATGTGTACCATATACCTCTCCTTGCAGCAGTAGGGTGTAAGAAACTTACATATAACATGTTGCATACATTCTCTCTGTCCTTATCACATAACTAATCATGCAAACAAAATAATTTTTGCACACCTATTTTTTTAAGGAACTTTAACGAAAAGCACTCGGTACTGTTCACTTTAACGAAAAAACCACATTTTTACAATAAAAAGTCAATCCTGGTACTATTCACTTTACTCTTTATTTTGTCCTTATCATTAAAACTCAAAGTTTTCAAACTATTTTCATTAATTTTCCTATTTTTTTATCCTACACCTCAATTAATTAATTTATTAAATCACAAAACGATGTGATATGTGCAAACGGAAAAAAGGTGTACAAAAATCACTTTCTGTGTTGCAAGTGAATATAAAAATAGAAAGAGGAGTGTACAACATAAAAAAGAGTATTATTCTACAATAGGCCCCATCAAGTACTTTAGCCTCACCACAATGAGTGAGTGAGAGAAAGAGCGATCCTTTGAAATTCATATGGGGGTAACTTATTTTATCCAAAATAGGTTTGAACTTTATGCAGACATCTATCTCAGTCAGTAAAGTAAAATTCTAACTTGGAAAATGCAGGCCAGGCAGTAAATTTAACCTTTATTTTCCCGTCAAAGATGAATTTTGTTAAATTAGTACGAAATTTAAACTCATACTGTAAAGACTCAATTTTTCCGCCGTTGTGATAAAAGATCATTTGCAAATCTACCCTTTTGTTTAGGTGAAGCAGAAATATATACTTTTTCTACTCTTTCTTTTTCAACTGAACCAAGTCCAAATTGCTTGCCATTTTATGCAATTATTGGCAACACAGACACTCACAAAGTCATCAACTAACAAGGCAATGGCCAAACAAATGAGACTCAACAAACCATGCTTTTCATTTTCCATTGAAAGATATACATATCCATAAAAAGATATAATAAGTTCCAAACAGAAGCATCAAGGAACTGCTTGAAAAAAGAGAAGCAAACAGTTTGACAAATAAAGAAAAAAACACAAACTTAAATTTTACTAAGGAGATGGAGGCCAACCAACTCCTCCTGCATCTTCATGGTGATCAATTCCTTCATAGAACCTCAGCTCAAGCTGCTCCAGCCTGCCTTCATCATCCCACATCTCGGCATAACTCTCGTCGTCGTCGTCATCATAGTAATCCTCCAATTCACCGGCGACGAATTCCCATGCCAAATAATCAGAAGCATCGGAGAAATCCGAGCAATCTTCCCACTCATTCCTCTCATAGTAGTCCAGAACAAGAGGCCCCAAAACCTTCAATTTTGGGTACTTCTCTTTCAGGAACTTGTCCTCAAGTTTAACATCCCAGCACCCTCTCAAATCCAGGAACTCGAGCTCGCGGCAGCTCGAGAGTATTTGGAGAGCACTTCCTGTGCTGATAAGATGGTATGCCATCTCAAGGTGCTTGAGCCTTGGCATTGTGGTGGCAATGGCACAAGCCTCGTCATCCAGCAAAGGCTTGCCTGCTGTATCCAATGGGTGCATGTTCCGACACAATGCTACGAGCATTTTACAGTTCTTTCCGATGGCCTCTAAAGCACGAAAACCAATTTTGCCACAGTAGCTAAGATCCAGGAAAGTGATATTTGAGAGCCTTCCAGCAGTCTTTTCTACTATAGAATCACTAATTTCACTTCTTGGCAGTCTCAAGGTCTGAAGGGAACCAGTACTTGCAAAACCAAGAAAAACAAGACTCAAATCACAAGACATTAATTCGTCAACTGTATCATAAAAAACTAGTATTCTTCATTCACAAAAAAAAAAAAAAAAAAAAACCAATCCTTCATTAACAGAAGACATTGAATATACGGATGATAATTAACAGTGATTTGCAAGTGTATAAGAAGATAATCATGATTGAAGGTTCCAATTGTACTAAATCCAGTCTATTGGGTTTACAGTTTGCACAAAATGTTCAATTATCTGAAACAAAATGACAGAGCATCCGCATATACACTAATGTGTGATCACAAAATCTTAATGAAACCAAAATTTTGTGGTGATAAAAATTTGCTAGTATGCTTACTGCTCAGCAATGTGGGAGAAGATTCTGTCATTTTGGAGGCCGGAAACTGTGAGCTTTCGGAGCGATCCACAGCTTCTAGCAATCAGCATTTCAAGCATTCGATCGAGGTGGTGAGCCTGGCATCTGTTACTCCAGTCCTCAATGTCAATCTCTTGCCAGCAGTAAGGCCCCAACACTGCCTTGTTCCAGGATTGGCAAACCCTCGGGATCACTGTCAGTATCTCCTGGAGAGTGAGATTGCCAAAAATCAGACCCAATGCATCTGGAATCAAATCGTCCCAATGCCGAAAATCGCTTCCCCCTTCCATCTAGTCTGCCTTCAGAAAAATGATAATAAATAAATAAATAAATTTTCCGAGTCAATCCATACCATTAAAGTTGAAAAAAAAAAAAAAAAACCATCTTTGCACATAAATCTCATGTAAAAGTAAAAAATTTCTTGAATTTCATGACAAAATCAAGATTCATATACAATGCGTGAGTAGATGTAAATTCATGATATTTTTCCACTAATAAATACTGCTGGAAATCAAAATGTTCATCTATATGATAAACAAGAAAATTCAGAACAAGAATTACAAAAACAAAAAAGATAAGACAGAAAAAGGACAAACATCAAAATTTACGGACCGCCGTAGTTGTATGAGAACATAAACAGAAAAACAGCAGCGAGAAATGACAGTTAGTTCATCAAAATTAAGACCAAAATCCTGTGGTAGATCCGGCAACATTACCATGTAAACAAAACGAGGATTATGTCAAAATCCAGAGGTTAGAACTTAGAAGACAGAACATCAACAGATCTAGAGGAGGGACAAAACCCAAATGAGAATTGAAGAAATGAGGTAAAAATTCGAAATTTAAGTTCTGAATTTTGCATTTTTTTTTTAATGATTTGGTAACCGCAGAAGCAAGGAAACAACTGCTGCTTTGAGATGTAGTGTGAACTCCCGCTTTTGCAAACGAGTTCGACAGAGTGTGAAAAGATTAAAGCTTTTATCTTTGTGCTGGATTTTGTTCTTGTCGAAGAAAATTGGACATAAATTAAATGGGAAAACATAACAACAACATTCGACTGATTAAACGCCCTGAGGAGGTGGGATTTGTTAACTTTAAAGATTTGGATCATGCAAACCACTCACCGGTTTATCCGCAGAGACTCAGCAAAGGAGAGGGAGGCTACAAAATGAAACCCATCTGCCACCAACCAGCAGAATCCAGAACAAAAGAGGTAAAAACAAAAACAAAGGTGAAAAAGCTAACAAATACGTATAAAATGAGATATAAAAACTAAGGGGTTTAATTTAAATATATCTACACTCCAACTCTCTCTCCTCCACTTGGAAACCAGAAATTAAATAAATACGAGCAGTTTTTAATGGCAGATATCCTCCACACATATACATGTAATTACACTTTCTGATTTTTTACTCTTTTAGTCGTCTAACAACACATCCTACCTTTCAGAAAATCCCAAAAAAGTTTGAAAATTTAATTACATCTATGTGTATGGATATTTGCCCATTAAAAACTGCTCGTATTTATTTAACTTCTATTTTTAAAATTTTATTTAATTTTTACTTTCAGGTGGGAGAGAGTTTTTTTTCTTTTCTACGGGTTGAAATCTCCGACAGTATATTTGTCAAGGTCTATAAAACACCTTATTCTCAATTTATATGTATTTTATTTCATTAATAAATTTAGTAGCTTTTCTAGAAAAAAAAGTAAAGGAGAGAGAGTTGGAGTTGGGATAATGCATTAATTGGTAATTTAAATTAAATGCTTAAGTTTTCATACCTCATGCGTCATATCATACGTTTTTGTTTACTTTTTCACTCTTTGTTTTTGTTTTTGTTATTTTGGATTTTGCTTCTTGGGGACATATCGGTTTTCATTTTGTAGCTCTCTGTCTCTCTTCCTTGCTGAGGCTCTGGAAATAAAGCGGTGAATAGTTTGCATGATCCAAATCCTTGAATTTAACAAATCCCACCTCTCCAGTGCATTTAATCAGTCCAATGTTGTTGTTATGTTTTACCATACAATTTCTGTCTAATTTTTATCCAATTCCTTACCAATATATTTAGATGAGGGAAATAAACTTCAATTTCTTTCTAAAAAGTCGAAATTTATATTTGGATTCATCAACATATAAATTTAGAATTTCCGCGTGGAAAAAAATTGGAAGTTGGGACCTCCAATTCCTAAATTTGAATTTCATGTAAGGAGATGTCATTCTAAATTTCTATGAGTAGAGTCTCCATATTCAAATTTTATTGTTCTTTTAGGTTAACGAAATAAAAGACTTTACAAATTCAAAAATATAAAATTATATCATTTAAATTTCCGTTATTTTAAAATTCCTTAATAATTGTAAATTTTCGCATCTTAACACTATAAAGTTACCATTTTGCACCGGGTCCAACTTGTTTGCAAAGGCGGGGGAAGCTTACACTACATCTCAAAGTTGCAAACTTTTTTTTTTTTTGTAAATAAAATATATTGATAAGGAAAAAAACAAGAATACAAGCAACAAAGAGTAGTTGAAAAAACAAACACACAACAAAGAGCTGCAGCTAAAAGAAAAATAGACAGCAACGCTAACAACGCTGCATCAAAGCAGCAAAAAAAACTAACTATTCATAGTTATATTCCATTCCCGTAAAGTAGAGTCATTAACAGCGAAATGGGTGATTTTCAACGAACTCAATCGAAGTCTAATGGTGGACTTAATTGAGTTGAGAACCACCGCAACGAATTGACATGAGTTCTTGAATCTACGGTTGTTCCGCTCCCTCCAAACATAATACACTGTAACAGTAAGACTTAACTTCAAAACTATCGAAGATAGAGATTTTCCCTTGCAACGGTTAGTAGTCCACATGACAAAAAGAGGCCAATAGAGCCTTAGCCAAGGGACACCGCACTTGAATAACACGGAAGACCAAATACCATCAGTAAAAGGACACTCAAAGAAGAGGTGGGAATGGGACTCCGTAGCACTAGAGTAGAGTACACAAGTGACAGGAACTGACAGAGCAAAAGTTAAAATTCTATCCACAGTAGAAAGCTTGCATTTAATAGCCAACCAAAGAATGAAGGTCATCTTGGGAATATTTTGATTATATTTGTTTTGATATATTTGCAAGGATTTGGTGAAGGGGATTGGGATCCGGTGACTATTTCTAGGTTTAGTGTTTTTAGTGACGAAATCTGGCTCTGGTGTGCTTTTGGTTGCATATTTGTAATTTTTGTGCTATGATTTCTTGTTCAAATTGACGACTCGCTCATTTTCTTTAGTGTTGCTGCCTTAATGGTTGTTGGCAAGACGTTCGTGGCGGCGACAGGCGGGAGCTACTCCTATATGGAGGATTGAGATTAGGTTTTATTTGTTTGTTTGTTTATTGCGTTGGATTTTTGTATTTTAACTTTTTTCAAGTGTGTTTTGGGTTAGTCTACCTTTCTTTAGATTAGCTGTAACTTTTATTTTCTATTTAATGAATGTTACCTTTTCGAGAAAAAAAATACATTTGGATTTGGATGCTGCGGAAATGTGAATCCATGAAACGGTTGTGTGCACTGCTTAGCATGAGGGCAGTGCCAGTACAGCAAGCAAAAGAAGTAGTACAATACGCACTTACAATGGTAAAAGGTCAAGTGGGTCTTTGTACTTTTATGTCTTCCTCAATGCTTTTTGGCGCAACTTTCGCGTGGGAGAAAGAGAATCCCCCAATTCCATTTCAAGACCAAATTATTATTATTCATACCAAAAATTGTAACAAAAAAGTAGTAATATTCCTTCTAATTATTTTAACCAAAGTTTCTATTGGATTAAAGAAGATCAAAACAAAAATGTATGATGTAAGAAGGCAACATTGTTTTTGGTGTACGGGAACAATATTGGGATAATTTCAGACAAAGTAGTCTTCTTTTGTATATGCAAAACAAAAAAAATGTTTTGCAAAACGTTTACAAAGAGACCTTAAATGTGTCAAGTTATATTTTACTAATGAAAATAGAAACGACTCTTTAAAGATAAAAAGCGAGGTGGTGAATAAGTGGCAGAAACACATGAATGTGAGCAGCGCTACTAATCCCATTCACATGTCCTATTTTGAACTCTTCTACTAATCAAAATGTTCATGGTATATACCCATGCAAAGTGGGTTTAAAAAATAAGATAAGTGAACGAGAATAGATACGTTATTATGGCATATTTCCCTATAAGAAATGAATTTACAAGATTTGCTAAAAAGAATGAATTTACAAGAAAATAGTATTATTTGTATCAATGTGTTTATTAACAACCAAAGAACTGAAAAATAAATGGGTCTCATTAATTATGGATATAACACACCTAAAAAACAAAGATGACATAAATATAGGAGAGTGGTCTATCCCATACATATTCTTTCTAATTGTGAACATTGTAAAACTTCACCGCTAGCATTTTTTTTTTAACAAACGATATAATCTACCTAAGAGACGGGAGAGTGGGCTAAGTCTCACAATGGGCATCAATAACGTGATCCGAATTTGCTTTTGGTGAGAATCAAACTATGACCTCACTTACAAGTGAATAGACTATCACTAGACCCTAATACTAAGTGGCTCCACACTAACTTTGTTGATTATTTAAGTCTAACTAAAAAGATTATGATAATTAAGGACATTGACCTACCAACCCAAGAAATTATAAGTACATTGGCCCTTGTGGGGACGTGAGTCTGGTAAAACGCATATCATGGCCGAAAGAAAAAGAGAAGTGCCGCATGCTTAGATTCATCAAAATGGTCAGCTTATAGTTCGTCCCAGTTGCATTTGATGGAACCCATTTCGTTGTTAAAACGTTAGCTCGATTGTCTTTCACCGATTGAAAGTTTTCCGATAGTTTCTTCTCCTGCATGCTACCATTCTTGCATGGACGAGAAGCAAGGCCGGTCCAGAGATTTTTGAGGCCCGGGGCGATGTCAAAAAAAGTGCCCAAACTTCATATAAGAAAATTATTTATTTTCACACGTAAGACATTGATAAAATTATACTTAGAAAAGCACTTCAAACTCAATAATTTAGATACACAAAAAGACTAATTTATTTTGTATTGAGAGAAGAAAACCAAACAACTCTGGACTTATAAGTAGATAGATGATAAATTTTGTTTTCCATTTGAACTTTGAAAGTGTTTTTGTATAAATCATGAGGTGTTTTTTCTTATTTACTAACCTTGTCAATATGGGACTAAAAAAATAATGATGTTTTCGAGTTTTTAATTGATATGTATTAGTAATGAATGAGCATTAAATTAAATATTTTGATAACACATCATATAATTTACAAATTTGCGCTACAAATTTGGTCTACCTATTACTCATTGTTGAAGATTAGACTTGAATTGAAACGAATATTTAAAAATAACAAGCTACATAGCTACTAGCTAGTAACTAAAAATAAATTAACAACCAAACAAAAATTTGTTAAAATTGAAAAAAATAAACATGCCCATAGCGTTTCGAACTTAGGACCTCTTGTTAATTTTAAACAACAAAAACCATTGCTTCTAATTAAACTTCTTGATCCTTTAACCAAATTTTATAAATTTATACTCTTCTGAAAAGAAATTTGTAAAAATTAGAAAGTAAATAAGCACATGTGGTGTTTTGAACTCAAGACCTCTCATTATTTTCAAATGACCAAACCACCTCTTCTACTTAAATTTTTGTGTCATTGAACCAAATTGTATAAATGTATACTCTTATAAAAACATATATAAATATACCACCCTAATAATTTTGGTGCCCCTAATATTTTTATGCCCCGGACGATTGCCCTGCTTGCACTCGGCCTGGGCCGGCCCTGACGAGAAGAGTAAGATTTTGTGTGGAGACTAGGTTTAGGGTTAGGTAAACCTAAATGTATGTTGCATATTTTTATTTTTATTTGTATCTTGTGTGGAGCCAAAAATAATCACAAAGCGACACGTGAATTTTAGATAAAAGAGGACAAAAATACCCTTGAGGCATAACAGGATTCCTACGCGCGAGTAGCAGACAATCATCCCTCAACCAAGTCAAAAATGCCCAAAATAGGTAACAAATTCAAAATTATTTCATCAATCCTCATCCTATATT